AGGATGAGCGTGCAGGGGCCCGAGTTACTACAGATATAGTCCTAACCTCTCCGACTCCAGAAACCACACTTCCACATGGGCTTGGGCTAAGGCCTGATCAGAAGAAGAGAAATGCTGAAGCCAGGGGTGAGTTTGTATTTGCGGAGAATGCGCGATACTGTGAGATAAGCTGAACGAGTTAATGACATTTTTTCTGTATACTTTCATTTTAGGCCAGCAAGCTGTTGATTCAGCGCGGGATATTCTCCATACTCTGAAAATACCTGTCAAAAGACGTGACCGGCCTTCTGGTTTCCTTGGACATGCAATAAACTATGCGAAGGAGGCATTTTATTTATTATTCATGAATAGTCCATCCATAAACGTCAACACACAACGCGCGGATAAGCTATCCCCTCAGCTTAAGCAGGCGGTGTCATTGCTTCAAGAAGCCGCGAGCCAAGACAACCCGGACGCATTGTTTCTTCTAGCAGAAATGAACTTTTACGGGAATTTTACCCATCCGCGAAATTACTCCAAGGCATTTGAGTTGTATAAATCACTTGCCACGCTGGAAGGCAATAGCACTGCACAGTACATGGTTGGGTTTATGTATGCGACAGGGATAGGGGGGGCGGTTGAACGACATCAAGGCAAAGCGCTGTTATATCATACTTTTGCGGCTATGGGAGGTAACATAAGATCTCAAATGACTGTCGCGTTTCGCCGGTATCTAGGTATCGGAACACCTCGCGATTGTGACCAAGCGGCCTATTACTATAAACAAGTAGCCGACCAAGCAATGACTTATTATCGATCAGGCCCACCCGGCGGCCAAATTCTGGCTAGAGAGTCATATCGCTGGCCTGATGATGAAGGTGGTGTGTACGGCGAGGGCGCAAGCGTCTCGAGCTCCGGTCCAAATGCAAATAAGGAGTCCCACCATTCAGGTTCTGATTCAAACCTTGAAGATGTGTTGGAATATTTGGATCTCTTATCGCAAAAAGGTGACGTGAAGGCCACTTTTACATTGGGGAAGATGCATTATGATGGCTCAAGAAATTTGAAGAGAAATATGAGGAAAGCCATGAAATATTTTGGGTTGGTTGCCAAGAAATTCTGGACAAACGACGGCAAAATTGTCTCCAACTACCCCGTGGGAATTGAAAAGACCGCCGCTAAGGCGGCCGCACATATTGGACTCATGTTCTTGCGTGGGGAAGGGGTTGATCAACATTTCGCGAAGGCGATTACTTGGTTCCAACGAGGCAGGGCGCTTGGAGATCCAATGTGCCAGCACTACATAGGCATAATGTATTTGGATGGATATGGCGTACCTCAAGACGTTATGAAAGCAGCGTCTTATTTCAAGGCTGCAGCGGAGCAAGACTTTCCGGCTTCTGAAACCAAACTTGGGGCGTTATTCCTTGACCAAGGCGATGTAGCCACCGCAACTCGATACTTTGAGCTAGCTGCTCGATATCGTTGGATCGAAGCATTCTATTATCTTGCTGAAATCGCTGACCAAGGGATAGGGAAAGATCGCCACTGTGGTATGGCGACAGCGTACTACAAAATGGTGGCTGAAGAGGCAGAGGTCATCCATTCCTCGTTCCACGAGGCGAATACGGCTTACGAAAATGACGATAAAGAAACCGCATTGGTTGCATCGATGATGGCTGCAGAACAGGGGTACGAGAGTGCCCAGACAAATGTGGCCTTCTTGCTGGATGAGCAGCGATCGGTTCTGCCACTTGATTATATTATGCGCCGACCCCAGAATCGCCGACCATCTGTACTCCGAAATGCTGCTTTGGCGCTTATATACTGGACTCGTTCCGCAAGGCAATCAAACCTGGATTCCCTTGTGAAAATGGGTGATTACTATTTCCACGGCTATGGAACGCCGCGCGAGGTTGAAAATGCCTTTACCTGTTACCATTCGGCTGCGGAGGGCTATCACAGTGCCCAGGCGCTGTGGAATCTAGGCTGGATGCATGAGAACGGTTATGCTACTGAGCAGGATTTCCATATGGCGAAGAGATTCTACGATCTAGCCCTTGAAACGAACGATGAAGCTTATTTGCCAGTCAAGCTTAGCCTAATCAAGTTACGGATAAGGAGTTTCTGGAATCGAATTACGCGGGGAAAAGCTAATCCAATCCGACCAGAACCAGGTCAGTTGTAGTCTATCGATATTCATCATCTGTGTTTGTTTCCAGGAAAATTCTTTGCTCGATCTCCGCTAACGAAACTTCTCCCTCTAGACGCAAAACTCCATCGATCATTGAAGGAATGGATTAAAGCTTTCAACACTTACAACGAAGAGGATGATAAAGAGTTCAACCAACACAAATCAAAACACCCATCCGATCCCGATGCACCAGATAATATCCTTTCTGAAGATGGCGGCGCCGCAACGGATGACAGGAGAGAGCCTACCAGACGTAATCATGACAGTACCTACTATGACGAGTTCGATATGGATATCGATGATGATATTTTTGATAGCCTTGTAATCCTCGCACTGGCAGCTACTTTAATCGTTCTCGTGTATGTGCGACAGCGACGAGGGCTTCGAGGTGTTGGCCAGAGAGATGGCAATGCTGTGCGTGATGGAGCTAGAGTTGGAAATGACGCGGGACGGCCCATTGATAATCCCGCGGCTCCTGGCGACGCAGCTGCTGACCCGCAAAGGGAACAAGATAGAGGTCTCTTCCCCGGACCTGGCGATCCTGATTTCGCGGCCTGGGTTGCTGGCGGGGTTGGTCATTAGCTGCAGGACTCAAGCGAAAAAGCCAGCGGTCCTTCGCAGTTAGATGTCCTTTATGTAATCAATTTATATAAATTAGTTATTCTTCATCATATCATTTCATGTTATTACTCTTCTAGTTATGCGTAGTTACATGCTCCGTATTATATTTACTAGTTAACTAAAGATTATCTGAAGGGGTTTCTGGGTGGCGTTATAACCCATGTTACTATGTATGTTGGCTCAGCATCAGCCGGAGGAGGTTCGGTCCAGCCTGCAACCGATTTTTTTGAGAACATCGCCGACCTTGGAGGCGGCGAAGCCAGGTCTCAATGACTTGTCTTGGTCGCCGCAGAGAGCATTGCAGTAGTAGCACCATCTTTCAGGGCAGTGCCAACAACCTTCTTAGCGAGGAACTTGATACAAACGGAGGATGACAGCTGCACAGGGGCGCGGCGAGGAATACTCAGGTGGAGATGACCAAGGCTACGGAAAATGGTAAGTGAAGATCTTGGTGCTATTGCTTCTTCCTTGGCTTTTTGAATACTTGTGTTTGTTCAGCGAAGGAGGTGGTCGGTGTAACACCTGCTGAGTCAATATAGCCCAGCTGACTCGGCTCGCTGTCCTCATTGTCGAGTGCAAGCACTGATTCGGCGTTGGATTGTTGGGAGTATTGAAGTTCCGACTGTGAGATGTCAAAATCCACATCAAGGGGTATCTGATCAATCACTGAGCATATCTTTTTTAAATGAGTTGGCATCCATATATCATAGATATTCCTTGTGAACTTGTACGCCGTCCATTTCTCTTTGCCATCCAAAGCTGTAAAATCAAACTTGTGGATTGGGTGGCGGTAGATATTTATCTTCTCTTCTTCAAGAATAGCATAGTGACCGTAGATCCTTACTGCTGTGTGATCATGTGAGATTGAGAAAGCAAGGATCTCTCGATTAACCTCTTGTTCACACTTCACAAGCTTAAATAGCTCAATGATAGCTCTCACTGCAATGGCGGTGCTGTGGGAATTTTCCCGATCTGCAATATCAAGTGCTGCCGCACCACACTTAACCTCACAAGTTAGGAATGGGAAGTACAGATAGTATGTCGCCATAAAGTAAGATGTGTCTGTCAGATTGCCGACAAAAGGCTGAAGCCTCTGCAACTGTTCATCTGTGAATGCCTCACGTCCAAATCCCACAGAGTAATCAGGTTGCGGACGCGGTTTTGTTATGGGAACTGAGTTATTCCATCCTTCATTGACACTTTCAACCAAGACATTGAGATGTCTCGCGCCGTATATGGCTAGAGTTTGTGCTGAAGGGACAATCAACCGAGAAATGTCTTGAATAACCTTGGCTTCATTTCGATTCTGTATCATTTCACAAAGTTGATCAAATACACCACCTTCAAATAGTGAATCTTTAGGGATTGTTTGCTCTAGCTCGAGTAAGCGTTGACAAAGATCTTTGCTTCCATTGGTTATATCTAGCTTCGATTTCCTCATAAAGATACCTTTAGTTTGAAGCAGGACTCCATAGCGAGATTTCTTGTATTGAGCATGCTTTTCTTCCCTTGGCTTTTGATCGCTGGGTGTGGTAGAGCTGGCGACAGAACTAGATTCCGACTGTTTGCGGCAAAGAGAAGATGTCGATTTCTTTCTTGGAAGGAGATGGCTCATGTTGTACCCTTCATGGAAGTATTCGTTAGGCCAGAAACCGCTCTGCGTCCACCAATGGATAGGGTTAACGTTGTTCTCGTAGACGTCGCGTGCGGCCTCCTGGTCCGGTGTGTCCCCAGCGGCAGATGTTCGAGGTCGCTTTTGAAATTGGTTGGCTGGAATGCAGAACTCTTGGGGTCCCTTCCGCTTTAGGCCTTTAGTTTGCAGAGAGGCAGACAGATTTTGCTGTGATTTGGCTTTCAGTTAGTTTCGTAGAGTAGTAGGAGTAAAGGAACATACCTTCTTCCTGAGTGTGTTACCACATGGAGATGAATAAGAGTGGTTTTGTTGCGCGTTTCCTCCCCAAGACAGAGATTTCTGATCCAGGCGTGCACTTCGGCGGACAGGTCTCCGTGGTTGGTTTTTCTCAACGCCTCGAGGCTGCTTCCCTATCAACGAATGGTCAGTTAAAGGCGTCTGGCCGTAGCATGGGTGGCTCACCTTGTGCTGTCTTTCTGATGTTTGGCTTCGCTTGACGTTTGACGTCTGATGCTTTTTGACGTGGGGCCATGATGATTGAAAAGGAGAGGGGTAAGAAGTTATTTTATGTTGTAAATGAACTGCATCTGCACGGCGTGTACAGATGACAGCCCTGGAGGGTGTTAACTGGTGTCGTCACAACACTCATTTACGCACTAGGCTTAAAATGGAATAAAAAAGCAATTTCCCCTCCCCCAAGCCGGGGAAGCAATATCACAAATTCACCATTGACCATCCGCTCTGACTTTAGGACCGCTTCAGATGGGTCGCTCTTCTGGCTATAATGCCGTCATTTGACACATCATAAAAGAGGTCATTTCCTCCCTCTCAAACTCATCTACTCTCCATTCCCACTGATTAGTACTTCTGCACGCCTTCCTCAAATGCTTCATCAATTGGAGACCACACATCCCAGTATTCTTTTGAGCATCCAACATGGCTGAATGATTGACTCCATTCATCCCATTGCTCCCACTAGCTTAAGAGCATTCATTGGTCCCAGCACATCAATTTGCTGGAATTAGTAGCCTATATTGGAAGTCAATCGGTTAGGGGGTTTAAAATAGTCATGTGATGAGGCTAATGAGGTTGTGACCTCCCGACAAGTTCCTTATCTTATCAGCCACCAGTGTGAAGCCCGCGCATTCATGTAACTTCAAGTCAACGTTGAATTGTGATGTTTACGCAGTAGCAACATTTAGCATATGATTTTGAAACCTTAACTAGTGGTATCAGAATTAGTATATGCGAACCATTGAGTCGAAGCCCGGTTTGAAAACACAATATGTCATTCCAAGCAGCAAAACGCCGTCGGCTTGACCAAGCAACATCCACGCTTTCCAAGCCATTCAAATCTCCGCTCCGCAAACAAGTCCAAAACACATCTGCAGAATACGGTGTAGAGAAACCAGACAGCTTAATAAAATTAGAAGAGCCGATTAAAGCCGCTGCTGCTCACACAACTACCCCCAGAAACACACAAACAACACAGAGCATCATTAACAGCCCGTGCACCCCATCCGCGGTGATTAAAAGACCCACCACAATCCCACCAACCGCGCCACGTGCCAGCGCTTCCACCACATCATCGACACCATCACCAAGCGCATCTCCTGAACTCGTCACTCTCCAGAAGCAGCACTCTGCCCTGACCACCCGCCTTGCAAAACTACGCAGGGAACTTGATCTCGCTACACAGGCTCTAAAGCTCGAGCAGTCCGGGCAAGATGCGGAGCTTGAAATTCTGATCGCCAAGTGGAAGAGGGTGAGCCGGGAGGCGGCGGAGGAACTGTTTGTTGGAGCAGAAGAGAGGGTGAAAAGGATGGGTGGCGTTAAAGGTTGGAGAGAGAATATGAGAAAGGCCCAGGAGAGGAGGGCGGGGTGGGATTACGATGACCAAAATGTTGGGAGTGATGTGGAGGAGGCTGAGAGAGGGAGGGCAGAGATCGAGGGTGAGATCGAGGTTCACGAGGGTACGAGTGCGAGCAAAAATGGAAACAGAGGCAGAAACGGGGAAAGCGATGAGGATGAGGTTTGCTTGATCATTTGCCCCTTTAAGTTGCCCCTTTAAGTGATTTTCTTCTTGCCTTGTATTAATTGTATTTTTTACTACTTCCCACTGACTTTTACCCCACACAGAGTTTTACCATGGATATGATGCTAAAGAGCTTGAATATCGAGCTTGATATCATAGGATTCGATCCAGATACCCAACAATGGATTTAAGGCCAAGTGTGGAGCATATACTGGGAGAGCAAAGATATAAAAAATAGTGACAGAAAATGATTATTTATATATAATTATTCAGTTCCGTGATGCGCAGATTAGTAACTGTCTAAGTAAAGTATGTACACAGTTTCTCTCCGTCCCAAATAAGAATTATAATGGAATTCGTTGATACTCTCGACAAATTAGTAGTTCGACGGGAACTATGACTTTGTGCTAACAGGTTCTTTCAGTTACTTTCCCGTTAGCTCTATATCGTCATAATCCAACGCTGTTCTGTATTTCTGTCGATGAATTCGGAGCAGCCTCTTAAAATAGAAGAGTCTACAGTCTTGCCCATTCCTTCTCTCTACACGTTTATGTAAAGACATAACACTGGGTTAACAATGGCCAGAGAGAAACACACTAAGCGGGGTTTCTGGGATTCCTTGAGTCCTCCCAACTCAATCAGCTCTGGTTTCTTGATTGATATACTTGTCGAAAACCCTCCCAATCTACTTGGCGCTCCTCTTCGGGTATCCAAATCGAGTAATGTAGCCTTCCGACCACTCGAAGTTGTTATATTAGAGAGATGTAAAGGTCAGCCATCCAATTAATTAAATACATAATACTAAATCATGATGAAAATATAGATTTGTCAAAACATACTCCATCAAGCCCCACGCCAGATATGCTCTCACGTCGACATTATCCAACGTATGTATACGCATCAGCTATTGCCCCGATATATCCACAGAGATACTCAATAATGGAACTCATCGTCCTGGAACTGTTCCAACGACAACTCATTCTCACCTTTCAAACTAGTCCCATTTTCCGCGACTTAGATCTTAGGTCGATCATATCGATCACTCAGCCACTTCAACAACTTCCTAAAACCCAACAGGTACGGGAGTAACCATTCGGACTGAGTCTCGGGTCCGACCGCGCTTTCATTCCTTCCTTCCATCAAGGTCTCTATATTCCCATAGAAATCATCAGGGTCCGGTCCGACTCACCACCGTTATTCTTGATGAAATGCGCGCGGTAGTGGTTCATGCAGTAGAAATCGTTGCTGCTTTGGACGAGGGCGCGATCTTCCTCTGTCCAGGCTGGCAGGGGGTCTCCTAACTGCCTGAGAATGCTGTCTGGGCATTTGCAAAAGTAGATAGGACCTGCGAACCATGAGATGGAAAATTCGGGTTTTCGGCTATCTGCTTCGACATCGGCTAGGCTCTCGGGATCCCAGGGCAGAATCCAGTCGCCGATAGATTTGGTCATGTCAGCTTTGATATCCTGACAAATGTTTTCCCCTCACAGCTGTCCTATAGAAGAAGTCAAACTCACCATTGAGGGTAATGCCAATTTCCCCACCATCAATGGTCTTGAACTCCTCTCTGTAAATATTCACGGCAACACCATGAGCAACAAGGAGGTTATGGCCAACAATCCAGGGATCGCGGCTACTATCATCCCCAGCACTTTTGGACCGGTCACGAGAACATCCTGGAGCAAATAAACCGGCATTATACCCCAGAATCGAGCTGCACCAGGGCTCATTGAAAGTAATCCAATGCTTAACTTAGGACTCAGTATCTTGGAGACGACACGAGCATAGTTGACAAAATCATCTACGAATTCATCTTTATAAACGCAATCTCTTGTGCAGCTCACTGGGGATGTCCCAATGTAACAACGTTATCATTGGAGAGAGCAATACCGGCACAAGAAGGTCGTTGACAAATTTGACATAGTGTTGTAGTCCATTCTCATTATTAGTGTCATTCTCGTCCCCCCCAAGAGGAATAGTTCGGGAACCTATATATCCATCCTCATATTCTCGATGTAGTGTATTAGAATATCCTTTGTCTTGTCAATTTGGAAGATAAGGAAATCAGGAGAGGAACTGTAAGCCCAAAATAAGCAGGGTATACAGTGAGAATCGATACGCTTGCTCTCTACAAAATGTTAGGAGCGCAAGTTCTCAGCTGTCCTATTGTAAGAGCCGTAAGCTATCTTTCTAGAGGAACCACCAGCGGTCTTTCTGCGGATACTGCAGAAAATATTCCAGATCGAGGGCCACGGCCATCAGCTTCAATAGCCCCTTCAATTTGATAGCTAATGAGGACAATCAAAAGGAGTTGAGAAGTACGTGTTAGCTATTAACAAAATACATTGCAGGGCCAGGGAATGGGGTTCGTTAATTAGGATCATTTCCCTACCTGGCTGTCATGAATCACCAGAGGAAGTCAGAGATGAGTTTGGAAGTCATCGAGTGCATGATTGATATACTTCATATACCAGAGGGAGAAATAATGCTTCGTTTTCCTTTTTCTATTTCATATATGGGATAATATCCAGGCCAGAAAATATGACTCTCTCTCTCTCGTCAAAAGGAAGAAAACAGCAACAGACTCAAAGAGAGGTCAATACCATGGACAGCGCAGCGGATAAGTGTATATCTCATTCAAGCAGCAACAATGCCAACCATTCATTCCAAGTCCCGCTTCTCCACAAAGAGCTCGTTGTGATCTGGATCTGACACCGTCAAAGCTAACTCGTCCGAGCTGGATAAATAGTTCGCGAGAAAGCCAATTATATTCCGCGTTTGCACCTGAAATGCGATATTAGAAAGGGGAGCAGAGAAAAGCAATGTTTTCCTCCATCCATCGTTTGGCTGTACCATATTTTACCCTACAATCGCAACGACAAGCCAGTAGGCTTTGTGGAGGAACCGATCCTGGTTTCCGCTACCCAGAAGAGCATGATTGAATCTAGGGGAATGCTGGTGTAACAGCTGGATAACTATATCGAGAGCAACCTACACGGGCTGGCTCGCTGACCCAATGATTTGATCTACGCTGGACACTTTTAACTCTACGGGAGAAACAGAGAGGCGATAATGTATAACGGTCCTTTTTAAATCCACGTACGATATCTAACTATAATCCTCTTGTAATCTATGCTAGTACAACCTGTAATGCCTTGGAAAAATATAAAGAACAAGAAAATGAAAAATGACAAATCGCCGAAGTGGAAACAATTAAACCATGCTCGTTACCCATTAGACGCCGCATCAATTCATGCAGTCATAAACATTCGAAAAGATAATCCCAAATATATCATAACCACCAGAAGAGCATCCCATATGTGAAACTTTTCGTAAGTATTTTCTTTCTTATTAACTCATGACAACTCCATGCCATCATCCTCATCTCCGTCACCCTCATCAAGGTCCTCCATGCCCGGCCCAGATGCACCACCAGGGGAGGTACGAATTTGCTTACTATCTGCACCTGACCCAAACCCATCCAACTCACCAACAAGCTCAAGCTCATGGCCCGGTACCACGCGCCCCTCCATATCCACCACTTCGCACAGCTCCATTAGACTCTGCCTGCTTAAGGTACGGAACCCCTCCGTTCTAACAACACGGCCCCAGTTTGCGAGACAAAATGATGCAGCGCGGCGCTTCAGCCATCCTTCATTCGTCCGTCCGGCACGCTCCCAAACGATGGCTGCATTGTCGACGTCCAGTTCCCGACTGAGTCTATTGACACAGAGCAAGCGGAGTTTGGGCATGTCGTAGAGATTCGCCATTACCAACATCCCTGCCACTTCGGTGATTTCTGAACAGTACTCCGGATGGCCAGCGATGCTGTCCGTGTATAAATAGTAAAGAAAAGCACGAACGACAGAATACGGTTCAGGTATATGCATCTTTTTCGTATGGTACTCTGCCATTTGAGCAGAATAAAGACGCTTGAAGTGCGGCCACCTAGCTTGTAAGATTATCCTGTGAACGTGGATGGGCCGGGATACTGATTCGAGGTCACGGAGATATGTGGATTGGACATGAGAAGAAGACACTGATATTGTCGAATCACCAAGTTCTGTATGGTGTGGATCGTCGTCACGGTCTGCCGTGATTATGAAATCCGTTCCACTCCCAGATTCAGGAGGTTGATCGAATACCGCAACCAAATCGGCTCCCAGCCCGCTGCAGCGTGGCGCCTCTTGCCGTTCTGATGAAAGTAGTCTGGCTTGCTCTGAATTTTCAAAGGTAAGGTGATTTCCAAGGAGGCCATACCGTTCGAGATTGATGGGGAGTACTTGGTTTAGGCGGTTTTCGTCGCCAGCACCAGTGGCATTTGGAGCCTCAAGGCTACATCCCAGAAGCCACGCTCTGGTGCCGTCCTCATTTAAACAACAATAATGCCATCGGTATCCGGATTTGAAAATTTCCGGCCCGTCTGCCAGACGATGCCACTTTAACGAGTCAAGCTCCAGAGAAGCCAGATTGCAATCCCAGGGTCGGACTGTTTCTGAAGGCGTGGCAATGTCGAGAAGGACACCAGATGAAAACACATGGAAGTGCGTGCCGGAAAGCAGCGTGGTGGGTACGTGAGGACCGGCGTGAAACTTGAGTGAAGAAATCGCGCCAGGAGCTGTGAGCAACTTACGACGACTCAACGTTCTAACCTGCACACTGGCTGAGTTGGCAGCATATCCGCCAGGGCCGACCTTGCAGGGCGGGAGGAGGACTATACTGGGCTCCTGGGCTCTGAGCCATCCTAACAAGAGTTCCTGGGGATTCGACGGTACCTTGTGAGGATGATATCCCGAGAGACGGGCTGCCTTTCAAGTCCAACCACCACAGGTCCGTACCACGCTCATATCTGATCCGAGACCCCCAAAAACCCAGAGGCGACCACCCCTGAACCATGCAGTGTGATCAAAACGAGCCACGAAGCTCCACTTAACGAGACCAAGTCCATGTTTTCAAGTCAAGATAACAAAGATCGTCCAGAATAACATTAGTCTCGCCGGTTATTCCCCCCGTTATTCCTCCAATCACAAAGAGTTTATCTTCGTAAATCACAGAGGCGTGTCGCGCTCTTCCACGAGGAATTGGGCCACGTATTTCAGGTGATGCCCAAGTGGAAGTGGTAATATCCAGTATAACAACGTCGGAGAGGTATTCGCGGTGTTCGTTCTCACCGCCAAACACTATTAGCTTATTTCCTTGATAAAGAGACGCGGTATGTCCTAGTTAAAGTAATCTCCCATGTCAGTAATTGCTTGGGTACAACAAGTAAAAAGTCGAAAAACCAACCCATCCTGACACCTGGAATGTCTCCGTAATTATCAACCAGATTCCACCTAAGAGTTGTAAGATCTAACCGGAGAACATGGTTGTAAACTGTAGACAACTCGTTAACATATCAGCACCACTTCAGGTTGAAAATAATCTTGCACAACGCAGGCCAACTCTTCCTAACCTTCATCAGTATACTGATCGAAGCCCCCAAAAGCATATATTTGATTGTTCCCACAGTATGTGACCGACGCATTTACGAGACATGCAGGAGGGTTTCCGGTCGACCTCTTAACTGCGGGACGATAGCCATCATTGCTCCCACGGCGGCTTTTGGGGGGACTAGTGGGCATAAGATAGGAATTGTTATTGGTTTGTAGCGCAGATGGCGATAATGACGTTGTGGATGCCATGCTCGAATTAGCCAGTGCCGAAGAGCCGCCCCAGTTGTTACCACTACTGGCTCCCAACTGTGCAGCCTGGGCTACTGGGTGTGAGCCACCAGCAACAGATGGAGTTGTTGGGGTTGAAAGTTCATGTGCCATTAGACACAGAAAGGTAACAAAACCGGTTAAACGAGAAAACCACAGAGGAGAAGTTTGATGGTCACATAGGATACAGTAGAAACATGGCGTTGAACAGTGACATGCGCATCCGTGGTATTTTGAGAACGTTTGTTTCATGAGGTTGGGTCCGATGCGACAGTTATCCCGGCAGCGAAAGTCTTGGCGCAAACTTTGACTAGAGGCTTGGTGAGGTGCGCTAGATCCGATGCGGACATGGCTTATCTCAGCACCGGTTGCCGTAGCGATCGAAGGACGCTAATCGATGTAAATATTTAAATCCGAGCGGGAATCGACTGCCTCGTCTGCTTCTTTTCTTCCATCTTCTCTGCATCTCTATTCTCCATAGAATCATTTCCCTCCTCCTATATCTCTCTGTATCCGCTTACATCTGTATATTCTCTACTCGTTTATGCTCTGTGTTCACGCATTCAACCCATCTATCTTTGTCGAGTATAGCTATTCAAGTAGTTATATCCATACCTTACTGGAGCTTTCCTACCATTGCTTCTCTGCAAAAAAAGCGTCTAGCTATTCTGGGAAACACCTCGAGTGTTGAATTTTGATATCTCATCTGCACTCGTTTGTGGTTTGGAGTAGCTTGAGTATACTGGAATTCTCAGCATAAAATGGCTACTGCCACCGTCTCAACCCCTCTGAAGAGTCACCATGGACTGTTCTCCTCCAAGACCGCTGGTGGGAGGATGCCCCTGACACCGTCGCCCAGATCTAGAACCACTAGTATAGCCACCAATGTGTCAAACCACTCCTCTCCCTTCACCCCTCCACGGCAATCATCCGATTCAACTTATGTGGCTGCTCAGTCAGTGTATGGCGGTAATCTCTCCTCCCATTTCGCCAGATCTATTTCGAGAACGGTGTCAAGAACCCACCGAGATTCTCCAAAGTCGAATATTGCCAAAACTAGAAAATCTCCCCGACATTTGGAACTGGGTGTTTCTGATTGGACGTTGACTGGAACTGGTCCAGCCACCGGTCAGACGCCAACTAAAAAAAAGGAGCCTGCTTTCCGTTCAAGAACTTCAAAGACAACTATTCGTCTTCCACATAATACGGCCGACCGCTTCATTCCGAATCGATCGGCCAGCGAGGGTCTCGCGACTGCGGGAACTGCCAAGCCAGACGAGCACCAACGGCCAAAAACTAGCGAAGGCTCTGCAGTGCTAGCAAATGCCGCTAGCGCGTTTCATATTGGCAGCAGGGAAAACGATGACGACATCGCAAGTGCCTTGGAAAATCTGGGCCTGGACGACCACGACAACACTACCTATTCTCGCCCTGCGCCAGATGCCGTTGCATACAAATCATCCCTTGCCTCCGCATGCGACATCTCCCTCAACACTCGCATCCTTGCGTTCAAACCTCCTCCACCAGAATCATCCAAACCAATCGACCTCCGCTCCCAGTACAACCGCCCTCTCAAACCAGCCAACTCTCAATCTGCGCAATTCAGACGACGAGTTCAAACGGCTCCAGAGCGTGTTTTGGATGCCCCTGGCCTTGTTGATGATTACTACCTTAACCTGCTGGATTGGAGTTCGGGCAACCAGGTGGCAATCGGTCTCGAGCGCAACGTGTATGTTTGGTCGGCGGAAACCGGTTCCGTCAACTGTCTTTTAGAAACATCCCCCGATACCTATGTCAGCAGCGTGAAATGGAGTGGTGATGGAGCTTATGTGGGCGTCGGGCTCGGCACAGGAGAAGTCCAGATTTGGGACGTTGAGGAGGGCACCAAGCTGAGGAGCATGTTCGGCCATGAGACCCGTGTTGGTGTCATGGGATGGAACAAGCACACCCTATCCACTGGGGCACGAAGTGGCCTTATTTTCAACCATGATGTTCGCATCGCCCAGCACAAGACTGCTGAACTTGTCTCCCACACATCCGAAGTCTGTGGCCTCGAATGGCGGTCCGATGGCGCCCAACTTGCTACCGGAGGAAATGACAACCTCGTCTCCATCTGGGACGCAAGATTTCTGAGCGCACCCAAATTCACCAAGACCAACCATCGCGCCGCTGTGAAGGCTCTTAGCTGGTGCCCGTGGCAATTGAACCTCCTTGCTACAGGAGGTGGATCCTATGACCGCCACATCCATTTCTGGAACACCACCACTGGCGCTCGCACTAACAGCATCGACACCGGTTCCCAGGTCACGAGCCTTCGATGGAGTAACCACTACCGTGAGCTTGTGAGCTCCAGCGGTTTTCCTGATAACTCCCTGAGCATCTGGAGCTATCCTTCCCTTGTTCGTAATGTGGAAATTCCTGCTCATGAAACACGTGTGCTCCACAGCTGCCTCAGTCCCGACGGGCAAATGTTAGCTACTGCTGGTATGTTTTATATATAAGGAATGCAGCATTCCGGTTAATTCCTCCCTTCGCTAACTTTTTCTTCTCTAGCTGCCGATGAGAGTCTCAAATTCTGGAAAGTTTTCGAGCGGAAGCCTGGCACCACGGCTGCTGCTTCAAGAGAGGGAGCCGTTGGGTCCAAGGGAAGCCAAATGGCCAAGCAAATGACGATTCGGTGAACCCAGAATAAATATCAGGTCATGTCGGGTTTTTGAGAGACTCTGCATTTCACTGGTGTTCGGCATCGCTTTGTTAAGTTCGTTCTTTCGGCATTGCAATGGTCAGAGCGTTGTCTTGTGGTTCATCCAATCTCCATTTGAGGTGAATATGAGGATCGCAATTGTAGTCATATTGAGCGGCGTGTGCTTCTTGTCTTTCCTGTCGATAATAATAGTAGTACGTTTATTTTTTTGCTTTTGCTGTTACTTCTACTTTTGCTGTTCAGTGTCGATTTTAGTTAGAGGTGATCGATCAATAAGTTTATTTTCTCGTAAAGATCGAAGTTTCGCGTCAGTTCTTTTTATAGTAAAGTATAAATCATAGAGAACTAATAGCTCTTTCTGGGCTGGCTTGACGGTTTAGAAGTTTCAAGGGATAAGACTGAGAACGATACAGAAGCAAAGCGGTTCACCATCAATCCGCCCATAAAAAGGACAAATAAGAAACGGAAGAGTCAATGAGAAGTACATTATTTAGTTTTTTGGAACGGTTGATGGGGCGAGTAGCGAGAACCAATATTAACCAGTTTTTTGCTCGGCTTTGGTCCGAACCACCATGAGGATGGATGACTAAGTAGCCTGAGTGCTGATAGAATTTCTGTTAGGCCACTAGTATGGAGGGTACGAATCACCCAATCCAATCCCCCCAACAATTTCCACTATCCCCTCATCTGGCCACTAGGATACAATTAGTGCAATACTATTAGTGTAACAACTAAGCTGTTAGCTTTGAAGTATCAACCAATAATTTCTCATACTAAATTCTATGTAATTTGATTTGTTGATATCTCTTCACTATTTCACATTTTCTATCTCACATTTTCTATTCTACACATTCTGCAATCTTGAAATCTTCTCATGTCCACTGCAGATGCAATTATTATTCACTTTAAAATAGATTATTATTATTATTATCCTTCTATTATAGATGCATGCAGTCAGTGACTATGACATCTACCTGAAATCCTCCAGGATTTTTCAACTTAAGAATAAGCTAATATACAAAGTCAATTTAATACATGCAATAGCAGAATTCTAGCTCAGAATCAAACAACTATTCAAACTATTTAATTTAAGAAAGAATGTCAAAAGAATAACAACAGATCAATACATTCAATTCAAATCAAATGAAATAAAAAGTATAAAAAACAGCAGCTATTAAAAAAAAAAGAAAGCATTTACAAATCAAACTTTTCAAAACAAGTCAAAATCAAAATTCCAGTTTTTGTATTGAACAAAAGTTTTAAATTTAACTGTATCAATTCAAACTTCTCTCTCAATCTCAATCTTAACTCTATATGCTTTGTACAAAGTAAAAGAAGATGCTCTGGGTTTTCATATAACTGGTAATCTGAACATAAATCACTTAAATCATTTCTAATCTTTGTTAAATATAATTTAAAATAACCATATCTAAGCTTTAGCTGCATTATTGTAGCAAAAAGATTCTTTTTACATTTTATTGAGCAAGCTTTCCATTTTAGCTTAGTTTTAAACCTGGAATAATGTACACTTTTTTTTTGTAAAAACCAGATATCATGCCATTTTTGCAAACATGATTCTCTTATTTTTCTCTTAATATAAGCCCATATTACAATTCTTTGAAAGCAGACTTCTAATTCAGTTGCTTTTTTTGTAGCTTTATCAGCCATTTCATTGCCATATATACCCATATGAGCAGGCACCCAGTGAAGATGAATAGAACAATTGAATGAGATTTTTCTTTGAATATTTTGAAGACTTTTCAAAATCAACTCTAACATTGACTGTCCACTGCTGATTTTATTACTTTGAAGTCTTTTAAGCTTAGCTTGACTATCAGAGAATATCCAAATATGCTCAAATCTTTTCCATTGTTCAATCTTCATCTCAACCAATTTAAAAGCTCTTGAAATTGCAAATAATTCAGCATTAAAAACTTCTGACTCTTTTTCAATTTGCTAAGAATCAAGAATATAGTTTTTATCATTTTCTGAATATGCTATTCCATCTCCATGATTGCATGTTTTCTCATATTTTGAGCTATCAGTGTATATAAGAATTGCTTTGTTTCTCATTTGTTTTAAAAGATTTATTAAAATAGAAATATGACTTCTACAGATAATTTTCAATTCTTCAATACTTCTTTTAATTGATTGACTGATTTTTTTTATTAGTTAGTATAAAAACAGATGTAAAGTGAAAGCAATCTGTCAATGAACTTCTTATAGACATTTCATCTTTAGAGAGTATTAAATTCAAATTCATGAAATCTTTTCATCACTCTTCAGTTCTTAATCTGTTTAATGATATTAATTTACAGAATTTATACATTTTATTGCCCCGGTGGCCGAATGGGTAATGCGGCCACCAGGTAGCGCCTTGGTGTGAGGGGTGATGACAGTGTGAAGAGTGAATAGTAGAAGATAGTATATAGTGTAGTAGAAGATAATAGTAATAATAATTATAGTAGTAGTATAGTTGAAGTTGTAGTTGTAGCTAATCGCTGAAGAGAAAAAGAAAGAGAAAGAAGATGTGCGAAATACATGCATCCATATATATATACATATAGAAATAGTGGTAGCGAGAGTATAATGGAAAGAGGTAAGAATAGACGAAGATATAAACAAAGATAATATAATAATAAGGAAATAATAAACGAGTGCATTACAATTGCCCCCCTTTTTTATAAGAGCTGCCCTCAGCGATTGTATAGATTGCTTGCTAGTAGATGTCTGCATTTCCGTATTGTAAGTGCCGCTTGTTGATAGCAGTGTATCGATCGCGTCCTCTCAATAGCTTGTATACGCGTTCTTATCGATTCCTTAATGAGGTAGAATTGGTGGATTCTTTGGTTGCTAGGGGTTGCGTGCAGAGAAACAAAAAGAATTTCTTTTCCTTTGAAAATTTCTCTTCTTTTTTAACTTGACCATCATCAAAACTCTTTGCCCTCCTGCTGCGATTTTTCGTTCTTAATTCAATAAAATTTTCGTTCTCCCTCCCCCCCCCTTTTGTTGAAATGGGCTCCCTCGGATATCCCGATTTTAAGTAAGTTGTTCTTCGCGTATTATTGTTGGTGTTCTCTGTCAGTGGCGTTATTAGCGTGGTCACATGCTTCACTAGCTTGTTCCAGTATAGCATCATTCGCTGTTCGCTTGTTCTGTTGCCCTAGCTTTAACCCTAATCTCGTGACGTACAACAGTCGGATTCCGTGCGAACGTTGTGCCTGGTCCTTCCAGGGCAGAGGTGTTAGAGGAAGAGGAGGGTGTGGAGGAGGATGTGGGGGTTTTGGAGGTGTTGAGCTCCGGGGGCTCCGTGGCGGAGGGGTTGATTGGAGAGGAGTTGACGGGAGAGGAGCTGGCTGGAGAGCCAATGGAGGAGGTTGTGAAGGCGCCGGTGGCCGCAGTGCCATTGGCGTCTGTGGAGCAGGGGGAGCGGGTGCCCCGGACGGTGGAGGAGTGGGGGGAGAAGATGGGGGGGAATGCCTTCGTTAACCGGATGTGCCGGAGAATGGGTAGGTTGATGGGGGAGGGGAGGAGTGAGGAGGCAAATGTTCTGTGGGATAGGCATTTGCCTATACCTCTGCGCCCAAAATGGGTGCCGGTAATTTACGAATACCGGAAGGAGTATTGGGTGAGATTTGCGCTTCTAGCGTTTTTCAACTTGAGATTCGCGCTTTTGGCGTTTGGGAGTATGTTGGTTTTGTATTTGTCGTTCATTTTCTTGTTCAAGGAAGATTTCGAATGCCTGAGTGTTTAATATGTTTTCTTCCGGTTCCCATGTATCACCACTCGGTCCCCAACCTGTCCATCTCACAAGATATTCCGGAGGTTTGTTTTTTCGTTGTCGTTTTTCAAGAATTTCCTCAACTTGGTATTCTTCTTCGCCGTCGACAAGTTCCGGTCCTGGTTCTGGTAAAGCTCCATTCCTGCGGTTGTATGGCTCCAATAAAGAAACATGGAATACAGGATGGATGTTTCTATATGAAGGTGGCAGTTCCAGTTTGTACGCTTGTTTTCCGATGGTATTCAGAATCTTGAAGGGTCCAACATATTTATGGTCGAGTTTACGAACCGGGCGTAGTAATCGGAGGTTTTTTGCATTGAGCATGACGTAGTCACCTATTTTAAATTGTTGAGGCTTATGTTTTGCATCGTAATAGGTTTTCTGTGCTTGTCGCGCTTTTTGTAGGTTCTCGATGAGCTTGTGGCGTGTTTCCTCAATATGTTTCGCGCGGCTAGCAGCATGTATGGCAACCGGTTGTGGTGGTTTGCTGACGTTAATTTTCAAATCAGGTCGATATCCCATTAAGGCTTCCGCGGGTGCTATTCCAGTAGAGGCATGTTGAGAGGTATTGTAAACAAACTGTGCTAGTGGTATCCAGCGTGCCCAGTCATCTTGATGATAGTTGACAAAGCATCGGAGATAATGTTCCAAGGTTTGATTCTGTCGTTCCGTTTGGCCATCTGTTTGAGGGTGAAAGGCTGTCGAAAGTTTCCGGCGTGCGCCTAGCATGTAACAAAAGGTGGACCAGTAATGGCTTGTAAACAGCGAACCTCGATCGGATATATGGTTTTTAGGTACTCCGTAAATTGTATAGAACTTGGTATAAACGATTTCCGCTAGCTCATCCGCTGTAATGTTTTTGGTGCAAGGAATATAGATCGTAAACTTGGTATATATATCCACAATCACTAAAATCGCATCGTAGGTTTGGTGGAGGAATGTAGAGAGAGGCTGGCAAGCCTGTAATAAAATCCATAGTAATGGATTCAAAAGGATTTGATGGTAAGGGAATTGTACCCAACTCTCCATATTGTCTGTGCCGTTTTGGCTTAACTCTTTGACAAGTATCACAAGTGGATATATAATCTTTGACATCCCTGACTAGCCCATGCCAATAGTATTTGTCCTGGATGCTGTCTATGGACTTTTTTATACCAAAGTGACCCCCCTGCGGATCATCATGGTTTGCACTGATAATTTCATCAATGAGTGCCTTTTGTTGAGGGACATATGCGCGACCATCAGCACGCAATATATCATCCTCAGAAATTGTCCATAGCATATTTTCAGCAACAGTCATACCCTTCTCTTTTACCTTCTCTCTTTGCTCAGCAGCAAAAGAATCAATCTTCTGTGCTTTACTCAGAAATGAGGTGAAGGATTCAGGCATTTCTGTATATGCTGAGTCCCCAAGAATAGCCTTATTGACTGCAATCCGGGGCATATATTGCTCAACGCGCATCAGAGGGGAAGAGTTTACGCGAGAGGTATAAGACGTCGACGTATGGAGCGCTTTTCGCTCATTAAAAGGAGCATTTTGCTCATTAGAGACCCGTGCACAGACTACATCAGAAGAAATATCATTTTGAAAAGAAGTATCAGCTTCCCAGCCTAGCTTAACTCCATGTTTCAGTTTCTGTTGCAGGGTAGGTAACATAGTTTGGCCATTATAGGCCTCACTGTAGTCTGCGCGACGACTGGGCCCATCAGCTGGATTCTTTGATCCAGGGCGGTGCAGTAATACAAAATCATAAGCAGATAAAGCTTCCGCCCATCTGGCCTGACGTCTGTTCAGTTCCTTAGTCGTCATAAAGTACTGCAGATTGGCATGATCAGACCAGACTTGAATTGGATACTGGCTTCCCTCCAGATAGTGTCTCCAATTCTTAAATGCTGCTACAATAGCCAAGAGTTCTTTATCATGAGTATCATAACGCGTTTCCGCATCAATCAACTTTCTTGACCAGAAGGCAACTGGATGCCAGTGCCCGTCATCCTGCAATTGTGACAGGATAGCAGCGACTGCAAAAGTGGACGCATCAGGTTCAATCTGAATACGCCGAGCTGGGTCAAAATGAGCTAATAAAGGAGCACGCATAAAGCGCGATTTGAGCTCATTGAAAGCGCTTTGGGCACTTTCTGTCCACATAAAAGTGGCTTTTCTTTCCCCTTTCTTGCTCCCTTTTGTAAGTTTCGAATAATGGGGCTGCAATAGAGGAGAAAGACTTAATAAATCGCCGATAGAAGTTAGCAAAGCCCAAAAAGGATTGAACCTCTTTAATTGATTTAGGTGTAGGCCATTCCACAATAGTGGAGACTCTGTCTGGCTCCATCTCAATACCATTTGTACCTATAACAAACCCCAGAAACGAGACTTTGTCCACTTCAAACTCACATTTAGAGAGTTTTGCAAATAGATTCGCACGCTCGAGACGTTCTAGCACCTTAGTAACATGCACTTTATGTTCCTGCTTTGAATTGGAGAATATGAGAATGTCGTCCAAATAAACAACGCAACATATATCCAACAAATCAGACAAGGCATTGTTAATGTATGCTTGAAATGTCGCTGGAGCATTAGCTAATCCAAATGGCATAACTACATATTCAAAATGTCCATATCTCGTTCTAAAGGCTGTCTTCCAACGGTCTTTTGCCGCTATAAGTATGCGGGGGTAGGCATCTCGAAGGTCCAGCTTAGTGAATACCTTGGCTTTTGAGAGCCTGTCAAGTAATTCACTTATTAGAGGTAGAGGGTATCGATTTTTGATGGTGATTCGATTTAACCCTCGATAGTCTACACAAAGACGGAGTCCACCATCTTTCTTGGGGACAAAGAGAATTGGTGCACCAGCCGGGCTACTGGACGGTTGTATCCACCCTTTGTCTAATGCATTCTTTAAATATTCTCTTAGGGCAGCTAACTCAGTTTCAGAGAGGTTGTATATCGGCATGAATGGAGGTCGCGCACCAGGCTCGAGATCTATGCGGTGTTCCGCCTCTTCTGGTCTTTGCGCGCTTATAGCAGCTTCTTCTGAGAAGATATGCGCGTATGGCATAACATAATCGGGTAGGCCGGTCGGCAAGTCCGAATATGCAGCCGAGAATACGCGTGGAGCATGCTTTGGGTCTTTTGAACATTCTGTAGGTAATACTACAAGCATTCCTACTCTGGCTCCGGTGAGAACTTCAGCTAAAACATCTTGTTCAGAAATAATTTGAGGCTGTTGTTCATCTCCAGAGCTTCTGAAGAAGAATTGTCCATCTGACCAATCTATAAGAGGATTTGTTTGTTTTAACCAAGGAAATCCTAACACAAGATTGTAGTCCTTCATTTTCATCGCATGGAAGGAATGAGATGTCTGCTGTGCATTACCCTTGTGATCAGTGACAGTGGTTGCAATGTTATACTCTCCAAAGGAGCGCATTATGCATCCATCAATCGATTTGACCATCTTGGTTTTGCGGTGAGCAGCTTCTAGATTGTGGTCTTTTGCCCAAAATTCATCGACACAGTTCACTTCTGACCCAGAGTCTACTAGTGCAAGCACTTTTTGCAGACTCTTAGGCGTAGTGATTTCCACTGTGACAGTGAAACTTAAGGCATTTTTGCATCGACTTTCCGCGCTTATAGTTGCATTGCGAGCTGAATGGCGCGCTTTAAGCGTTTTTTGAGTCCTTTGTGTTCTTCGTATCTTTCGCATTGAGTTTCGAGTCGGATTTAGTGTTTTTGGATTCATCTTTGGGTCGTTTGAAGCATGAATCGACGGTATGTCCTGGTCGCTTGCAATAACGGCAATATTTCGATCGGGTGGAGTCATCGGACTTTGTAGTGTCATTCCATCTGCGTTTGTTTTGTGGCTTATTACCAGCATTATTTCTGTTGTTAAAGCTTTGAGTAGGGTTTCTGAAGTTTGACTTCTCTTTAAGTTTCTTCCGTCTTTCTGGCAGATTTGATTCTGCCATTGCAAGTTTGTGAAGAGTGGCATCATAGCTTAACTCTTCTAGTTTGGTTGCATATTTGTCAAATTCTCGGCGAATGGAAGGTAGAACTTTCATATAGAGGTGTGATTTCCGATGGTATTCGCTATAAGAATGCCGCAGACGCCCTTCAATTGATTGTAAATGTGAAGCAAATTGTTGAACTGTCTGATCTTCTTGTTGCTCTGTTTTCCAGTACTGTCTATCTGCATCTCGGAAACTTTTATCTGGATCGGTGACTTGACATTGCATCCAGCTAACAAATTCTTCCCATGGTGGCAAAATCCGCATATCATGTGTATGTTGATACCAACGTTGTTGCATCTCGACATTGAAATGAGTGACGGCTTCGATGACCTTCCGATGGTCGTGTTCGTTGTAATAATCAAGATCACTGGCATGGAAAGCGATAGCAGCTGTAACAAAGTTTTCAAATTCTTTCATGCTTTGGCCTCGGAACTTTTCCACATCTCTCCGAGGAGGGTGACCGCTCATGCCGGGATCTCGAAGTTCTAATTGCCAAAGTGGTACCCGACTACGTCTCCCACTGACAGTAGTCACGGCGCTTTCCACTAAGGTGTTGGGCGCTAGTAGCGTAGGCTCCGGTGGTCCGAGGATGCTTGTGGCGTTTTCGCGGTTACAATTCACGCTAGTTGCGTCTCTACCATGGTTCGGATGCGCTTCGAGTGTATTTCGGGTGGCTGGGATGGTTTCATCCAATTCTTGCAGTAAAGTATTGCACCGGTGTTGGAGTTCTCGCAATTCCTTTTCAGCCTGTAACTTCTTAATTCTCCTAGTCACAGCTATCTTCTCGGCCTCGATTGCATTCAGATCTTCAGAAGAGGTGTCCCCTTCTGAACTATGCTCAGAGTCTGGTTCCATAGGAGAGGTTGATGCTTGTTGCGCACTTTCAGTGGCAGGGGTGCGCGTTTCACGGTTTTCTTCACTGGTGTTTGTTGCTTCTGGTTCGGCGGTAGCACAAGTACGGCGGATGCTGCGGGTAGAGGCCATGACTATTACTCAACGGACCGTCTCTCGAAGATTGAGCGATTAGAAACTGTGAGGGGTGATGACAGTGTGAAGAGTGAATAGTAGAAGATAGTATATAGTGTAGTGGAAGATAATAATAATTATAGTAGTAGTATAGTTGAAGTTGTAGTTGTAGTTGTAGTTGTAGCTAATCGCTGAAGAGGAAAAGAAAGAGAAAGAAGATGTGCGAAATACATGCATCCATATATATATACATACAGAAATAGTGGTAGCGAGAGTATAATGGAAAGAGGTAAGAATAGACGAAGATATAAACAAAGATAATATAATAATAAGGAAATAATAAACGAGTGCATTACAAAGTTGCTGAAATTGTATAAAGCAGAGCATTTCAATTCCCTGCAGATGTATATTTAAAAACAAATATTGTAACATGTTCAATTAATGATGATGAATGTCTACACTACTGAAATAGATAGTGAATCTCTGATTCAGAATATCTATAAATATAAATCATGCAGAAAATCCACAACTCATTAATAGCTGAACATTCAAATTGTGAGATCATATATAGTATTATAATTTGAAACTTTTACTGATTGAATATATAAAAAAATGTACACTAATTTGTATGCAATTTCAATCATTGTAATTCAGTAATAGCATGATATGAATAATAAAAAAAAATGCTGAAATCTCTATCTGTCTTTGAATGAATTTGATGTGATATAGCAATTGATTTTACAATTTCTTTATTTGAAAATGGAGGTTCTATAAACATTTTAATCATTGTTAATTGATTTAATAAGAGTGTAATACTGCAGCTCTATGATAAGATGAATGCTGAAGTAGTTGCAAATGTCTTTATCAGAAATCTTTTCTATTATATACATAATTTACTTTCATTCATTATATCAGATAAAAACAATCAATTCATCAATGCATTTTGAACTCACATATATCAGCTACTAAGAATTGAATGAAAATTGTCAACAATATATCATTCAGAAACTGATGAAATCATAAAAAAAATGATACAAATAATAAAAAACATTCTCTATAAATTCTGTAATTACACACAAAACAATTGAAATCATTTGTTATCACACATTGAGATTGCAATTAACAGTTGAAATTTTATTATAATAAATATAAACTTATTTTTTTTTTTTATATAAATATAATTTAGAAACTCTGAACTTCTCTGAGAATCTTTGAAAAATCATATACATTCACAGTTTCATACAAATGATAGAGAACATTGTGAGTAAGTTTAAAAAAACTTATAAATAGAGGTTTTTATAATCAGCATTCAATAAAATTATGAAAATTAAACAAATATCAAAAGAAGTTCTGCAATTCAATATTATATAAAAAACAAAATCTAATTAAATTTCAAAAACATAAGAACAAATCACTTCTCACATATATTAAATTATCATCATATCAAATATATTGTGATAAAGGCTCTGAGTATACATAATTATCAACTCAATATTTCATCTGATATTTACAACATCTTTTATACAAACCTGCTCTGACCTGCGGCTGAGGATTCATTCCCCTCACAAAGAACCTTCAACTGGCATCCACTTGCCATTATAAAAGAAGATAATGAACTTAAATGAGAGATCAAGGCAATTCTTGATGATAGAACCAACCACCACCACTGCAAATACCTTGTCAAATGAGTAGGATATGATTGTCTGACCTGGGAACCCGCGTCCGCCATGGAGGACACCGTCGCCTTAGACTTTTCGCTCACCCCGGTAGAAGGGGATAATATAATGAGTTAGCATCTGTTAATAGTTAACTTACACAACCAACTCCTTTTCTGCACCTACTTATCTCTGTTATTACACTTTGTGCTTGTGTAGCCTCTAACAATTCTTCCATGTAACCTCTTCTGCTTCACACTTCACACTTGTGTAGTTCTAATGATTTTTTCACATAATTTTTAATGTTCTTCTGCTTTGTGCTCTGCTCCATACTTCAATATAGGGCGGCTTCTGATATTCTTCCACCCCAATCTTCTCTCTATAAAAACCCCCTTCGTACGACCTTTCCTTCTGATCTCTTTTCTCTTTCTTTCCTTAATCAATTCATAATCTGTATTTAAAATAGTGCTAGATCGTTAATCGAAGTACGCTTATTACATTTTGCCATCTCCTCAAACTTATGCCTGGCGTCAGTATAAAAGAAAGAGAGAAGAAGGGAATAAAGAAAAAACTTCAAAAGCAAGATATGATTGTACAGTATGTAGCAATGTTGCTCTCTGCTTGAAAAGAGGATGTTGAAAGGAGTTCCATTTTAATAGTATTAATTAAAGCTAGATCAAATTGATTACATAAATTACACTAAAACACATCAATACAGTTGATGCCTCATATTATCCAGTAGTTTCCATGTATTTAATACACTAATGTACACACTAAAAAATACGCTAATTGTGTCCTAGCGGCCAGACGAGGGATAAATGGGATTTCTCTCTTTTTCACCATCCGACCAGCAGCTGGCTATCGGAAGCAAGGAGCCCGCATCTATCACTACAGCGCCAGAGAACAGATCTATAGAATTCGTATCAGATTCATTTACTGGGCTTTCACCCCCTCCTCTTTGTTTTGCCATTTTACAAGAGTGTTTGGGTGGGTTTAGTGAGTTCAGTTCGGCCACTGAGCAAAACATCAAATCAGTTGCACCAACCAGCACGAAATCAACAGAGCAATTGGTTATTTCTCTGGCGCAGTGTGCCCCTTGCTCCCAAAAAGGGCCAAACCGAAAATCAAGCGACTTTCTTCATAGTCGGCGATATTTGATCCTTGTGGCCGTATTTATCCCCTGTCGTGCGCTCGCGCTTCCGTCTTTTATCGAAAAAAATGTCCAACCAGCAGGTGGTAAGTAGAAGAGAAAGAGAAAAAGAGATACGAGCTTCCATCCTCATCCATCCATCCCATCCCTAGTAACATCGTGTGAGACTCACGTATCCTTTGCATTCCTGTTTGGCAATCTAGGGCGTTGTGTTCGATAAGGTCATCCAGGAAGTTTGCGATTCATCTCAGATCGACTTTGAGGAGGGCGGCGTTGACCAGCAGACGTTGGAAGATTTGCGGAAGGTCAGTCCATGATGTCCTTCATTTCCGAAGACCGATGGGTGGATGCGAGATGTTCTCTTCGCGGGTGTTGATGAACCCTGGGCACTGGGGATGTTCCTCGCGGAGTGGCACCGAGGGGAAACCGCGCTGCTTATAGGGAATCCAGGCCTGCTTTTATGAACGCCGGCTGCTGGCGGCAGCCTTGGCCCGTGTGTGGCTCAGTCACGCTGTGGTCAAATTGCGGTGCCGCTTTTAGTGGCAGTGGGCATGCATGACTAAGCATCCCCTGGCTCTTGAGCGAAACGCAGTGGAACGTTCTTGCTCGTTGATTTGTTCGATTGCTAACTCGATATTCCGTTGCTGTTTACTTAGGGATGGCGGAAGAAGCTGTCTTCACTAGGGGTTGCCCATTTCCCCTGGGATCCAGCGCCCCAACCCGCCCCAGCACCCCCTCAGCAAGTTCCACAACCCCCACCACCACAGCAAGCCCAAGGCCCAGCCCCTATTCCACCACCCCCTACCACAGTTCCCTCAAATGGCCCTGGCACCACACCACCGCCGCAGCCACGACCGCAACAACAACCACAATTTTCACAGCAACCTTCACAGTCACATCAGCAAACGCCGTCGCAACAATTTTCACAAGTCCCTACTTCTGCCCCTCAGCCATCAGCCGGCAATGTGCGTATCAAAACAGAGGGGGGCTACCAGCCCACAATACAAGGTCAACCCCCAGTAAATCCATCAACTCTCGCGCAGCAACGTGCTGCGAATGCGTTGCATCAGAGGTATGGAGCAGCTGCGGCGAACCAGGTACACCAGCTACAGGCCCAGTCCCAGGCTGCTGCTCTTTCACTTCCAGGAACCCAGAAGGTTCCTAATAGGCCAGGTCCGTTTCCTCAGGACCAAAAGCCACCACTACAACAGCCTCAGCAATATCAAAATCCAGCCCAGCAACAACCCCTTCAGCAGTTTCAGCAGCTTCAGCACCAGCAGAGACCCCAGGTGAACAACTCCCAAACCGATGGTGCCAGTGATTCATTTCAAGAATGGAAAGCGGAAGTCGCGCGCAGGAGAGAAGCTGCTGAAAAATGCAACAAGAACAACAGCAGCGGCGACGACCATTTTATCCGCTCCTATGTAGAATCCAGAGGCTTACAGTTGGAAGCTGGTGGCCTACTGGTGCCCCTGAACGAACAGCCAAGCATTGCCAAGGGAACGAAAAGAAAGGCACATATGATGAATGACCCCTCGTCTTCAACTTCTCCCGCAATGCCCTCCACTTCCTCGAATAGTAGTGTTGCTACATCCGCACTAGCCCAGTATGATGGAGTGGACAACTACAATGGAAACACGGGGCGGGAGGAGGCAGATGAAGACGCCATCAATTCCGATCTGGACGACTCGGAAGACATGCTTGATGACTCCAACGACGGTGATGATGCGGTTGGCCAAGTTATGCTTTGCACATATGACAAAGTCCAGCGCGTCAAGAGTAAATGGAAATGCACACTGAAGGATGGGATTCTTACCTCTGGTGGTAAAGAGTGAGTTGTTCCTCTGCTTTAAAGTCTGTTAATTTTCAACATACGGTATAACTGATTTATGTCTCGCTTTCGTCGTTTTGTAGATATGTGTTCCATAAAGGCCAAGGCGAATTTGAGTGGTACTAGAATGAATTAGACTTAACGAAGCCGTTTTCGCCCGCCGACCGGCCAGACCCACCAGAGCCACCTCCCCTTTCTTTTTCTTTGTTGGCTTTCTTAATCTCCTCATTATACCCTGGAAACTCCCTTCACTATCCGTCTGATTCCCTTTGCTACTCACATTGACTCTCGAAGCAAGATCATACGTCGTTTTGCTATCCACGATACTCAATATCCACGAACAATTCTGACTTTGCTCAATGCCCATGGAAACCAAGTTTAATTAAAGCTTTGAATTCACCCAAACAGTCTAGTAGCAATGCGAACGAAAGAGGAAAATTTCCTGAATTCTGTCCTTCCAAATTATGTACCTTGGAACCCCCTCGCCTTTTTTCTTTCCTTTTTTACCATTTCATGTTTTCATTTATGTGCAATTTCGACTTCAATGGCGCTCCTGTGGACTTTCATTTTTGTTATTATTTGTTTCCCTCTGGGTTTTCCATATTCCATGACACACTTTGGTATTTCAAAATTTCTGATCTCCGTGCCCTGTCCATTCGTTTTCTTTTTCTTTTTCCCTGTGGGCCCCCTTTTTTCCCTTTGTGTTGTTTACATGAACATGTATGTACATGAATGGCCCAGGGGGTCAAGGAGGGAATCGTGGGGGTAAGCAGATGATTGGATACAGAACGCGGGGTGGTCAGGAAATGCAGGCGAGGGAGAGGGAGAGTGTAAATCAGCCCTAGTAAATAGAGAAATTATGAAATTGCGGACCGAGCCATGA